GTTCACAGGCATCCTGCCCTGTGCTTGTGTATCTGGTGACCCACCTGCAACTATCGTCTTTCTCAGACATGGGTTATCACTTCCTAAGAGCAGATTATTGCATAAAAATAAAAGCGGTGAAATGAATATTGGTAGTATTTTTCTTAAGTATATGTTAAAAATTTTAGGAAGACATACCATCAACATTTTTTTTGAGCCCTTTGTGCCTCTCACAGGACACCTATGCATCACAGAAAATTTGAGAAAGGCACGGTCAAGTATATTTGCAACCCAGACTGACCGATCACAAGCCATGTGGCCTTTGTCAGTTTCTCATCTAAAGTAAGGGATAATAGCTCGTGGAGTTTTTGTGAAAAATGAAATCAGATAATGTTTGTGAGATACATGGTACTTACTGTGCAGTTATACATGTTTTTAATGGTAATTATTCATTTTTATTATAGTTTTACATGCTGGAAGAGGATGGAACAAATGGCTCATTTTTTTATTTTAAATGTGGCCCCTAAACATGAGGCAGGTGTTTGATCTGAGATGCAGCTGAAGAAAGTGCAAACTGTTAAGTGCTGTAGTAGAAACAAATACATTTGGCTTTTGAAAGATGGTATGTTTGCATACAGTTGTATTTACAGTACCATGTAATCTGTACATTTGGGTATAATTTACGGGATATTCAAGGCTCATTTGACTCTATTATGATTTTTACTTTACAGATTGACCTTAGAACCTAACATCTGTCTTAGGGCCGCAATAGCTGGCATTGAACACATGTCTAACTGATAGTGGTACCTTGCACTTTTTCCTTTATTTAATGAATTTCCTGCAGAACTCCTGGCTCTATGCTTAAATATTTCTTAATACCCTTTGTAGAATACAGAGTTCTTATTCTTCCTTGGAACAGATGAAATACAATACTTCGATATTGCTGGAATTCTTACTGGTTGATCTCAGACAATTCTAAGGCTGATGTAAGGCATTTCAAGCCTGTTTATGATTAAGGTACTAATAAAAACTAGTAGCATTCTTAATAAGTGTTTTCTATGGTCCTTCAATTCTGGCTTTGTTTTGTGAGTACCTACACACGCACACATGTGTACATACATGCACACACACACACATTGCTGATAGTTAATGTGGTGGCAATTTGTCTAATAGTTTCTCTAATCTACTTACACAACTTGCAGTTTTCTTATACCAGCACTTACTGTTCTAGCCAAGCTGACTGATCCTTTGAAGTACTGTCTGCTATCTGGAGGCAGGAGTACTGGGAACTGGTTCTTACAGCCTTACTGTTCTCTTGTGAGATCTAAATGAGTATTCCTATGTATCATTTGATGTTCTGAATCCCAGAAAAACATAGATAAATGAATGGAATATCTCAGCAGAATGCAGGATTCTGTATTTTATTCTTATTAAATTATTAAGGAATGAAGTGAACATGAATTTTTAAAAGTGGTCTTCCTTTCATGGATGTCCTAAGTTTCTGCAGAGCTCTCTGGGCAAGTAATTTAAATGGACTGGTGAAAAGGTGGTGTACTTTGCTTCTGACCCTCTGAGAATGGCTGGACAGAAATAGATTTTTTTTCCTGCTCATACCTAACCTGATTTCATTCTCTTTCTGCATGTCCACTACCTGACTCTACTACGTAACACAATTGGGAAAATATGAAAACAAATCCCATTCAATAAACAAAATTTTTAACCCAACCTCTTTCAAATTTCTGAAGGGCCTGATACCCTTTCCAAAGAACTCCTCAGTTTGCAGATTGGTTTTTCACTCAAAAGAAGGGGCTCCACTTCCGGCATCAGCACTCTCTGGAGGACTTGTGCCGGGGGATGATCATCAAAAAGCCTCCACAGGGATCCGGACGATGCTGCGGTTGTGGCTGCATCCAGCCCACCGTCTCCTGGACTTGCCATAAGAATGAGGAGGGAGATGTCTAGGCTGGCATGTGCATACAGTGAGACAACGAATTTGACCGGATCTGTACTGTTGGAA